CCTCAAGCTCAATAAAAATTGTTGAATATCAAAATTACACTTATAAAAAGGTTTTATTTAGGAAAAACATTCTTTAGAATTAAATTTTTTAATCACAAGATTACATTCAAAATAAGAAAATGAAAAAAAATATAGCAACATAATGCGCTCATGGTTTTTATTATAGAATGAAAAGAACAATTACGATGAAGTCTCCTTTAACAGTTTGTATTTCATGTATTTTTTCTTAAATGTGCGATCCACGTAAGTAAAAAAAAAATACCCAGCACTGATAATGATTTTTGATTTGAAATATTATTACATTGGTATAAATATGGAAAGGAAAATACTCCGACTTACTGTTTTAATATTATCAAAGTAGCAAGGCCGTTAATAATACTAACAAAATATATGAAACTTGAAAAAATTTTATTATCCGTCAAAAGTTTTTATGGAAACTACCTTCTATTTTGTATTATGGTTTTTCTTGCAGATAATGCGAAACTACATCGATTTTTCGGTACTGCTGAACAATTTCAAAAAATATACTTGGCAGCAGGGATGCCAACTCTATTGACGTTAATTTCGCCAAATTTCTGAAAAATGTTCCCTATTTTCAATAGTATTTTCCCAAAAAACATTAACACATTGTAAGGCCCACATGCACGGATTGCATGGTAAAAATTGGTTTTCCTATGGGACAGCTTGTCAAACCGTGCGATCCGTGCACCGTGCAAGGGCTTTGCAAGACTTCTAGAATACCCCTATTTACTAGAAAAAAAAACAACAACAAATATCATCAATTATAATAACATAATAAAGATAGTGTTTTTAAATGACATATAAAAGTGATACTTCTGAGTATATTTTACAAAGCATATCTATCATATATAGCGGCCATGGATGGGTTATACCTTAAAATCATATATTTCTTGATAAAATTTTTGTAATTGTCTACAAGCAGGACTAAAACTAAGAGAGTTTTTATTTTTAGGTAGTTGCTTTGTAAGTAAAACTGCCTCCAAAGTATCTATGCCAAACCTATTCGTGGTTGCAGTTTTTTTTTTTTCAAAGAAGCGAGAGATAGCATTGTCAAATCGTCGCCTGGGTAAAAGATTGTCGTAAGCGCCATTTTGACAATTCTTAGTTCTAGATGAAGTTATATATTTTGAAATAAGATCTTCCGATTGGTGTCATCAGTTTTTAGATATCTCCTTTACTTTCCGAGGTATTGTCTACAATTTTTTCGATAATTTAGTAAAAATTTAGTTAGTGATGCAGTCATATTAACCTAATCAATATCTTAAAAATGGTGTTCTCCATTTTTGTATACCTCCTTCAGTTTCCGAGATATTAGGTAAAAAGTGTCGTTAATTTAGTAGAAATTTCGATCACATTTTGTCGTATTTCATACAAAGTGGCTGCCAAATTGTGAACAAATGGCGCTTACGACAAAATTTTACTAAAGAAAATCCCAGCATAAACTCAAAACCAATTAACAATAAACATTAAAAAATTTCAGAGACTTTGGAGAAAATCTATCTACGCGTTTTTGAGAAATTCTATTCCAAACTTCAATTGCGATTTTCCACAACCTACCGAAATTAACATACGACAATCTCTTACCCAGCCGACGAAATGTAAACGACAAGTGAAAAGAGGCGCTATGCACGGTTGCAATTTATTTAATATCCACTCGGTTGCATGAGGCAATTACGTTCTATTTTAAATCAGTAACACCGTATAAATAAGAGATTGTTATTACAAGTTGTAAGTTTATTCTCAGTAGGAATATTGTAATAAAAATCTTCAGTGTATTGAATTTTCCGATTCGCCTGAGAAATTCAAATTCCATCAATATCGGGGAATTCTGCCGCGGTTGGCATCACTTCTTGGCACCTTTTCACGTTTGGGTAACGGTATAATCCTATGTAATCACTATAATATTTCCCAGATATATAATATTTTCCAGATATCAAATCGGTACGGAAAACAAGCAAAACAAGAAATCCCTATAAACTTTACCTGCATCCACATCGATTGAATTTGGATTAGCCTCATCACAAACAAGTTAACATTCTTACACCAAACAGACAATGTCCGAATGACTTTGGGGTAAAAGCGCAAAGTCAGTCGATAAAGACTTCGCAAGAAAATCGCACCTGGGGCGCAACTTAATACTCAATTATTTGTATGTTCATATGGAAATTAAAAAGCACATACATACTCCATACATATGTAGATATGTACGTACACGCAATATATGGATATACATATGTCACTTCATCCAGAGTCTATGCACGCAGGCGCAGCAATCAAATGCAGTTAAGAAGACAACACTGAATCGTATGGAGAAATGCAAATTATGTACATAGCTTCAAGCCAATAATACTCCTACTTTAATATACGCACATGCATACACACTCATGTACATACGAGTATTTATGTGTATATGAAGTTAAATATAACAAAAAAAAAAAATGCCCTACCTTTATTTATAGTGCTAGCAATATAATTTGATTTAATGCGATTGGGAATCGCGCTTTTACAGAGTATATGTACATATATGTATGAATGTATTTAGAAAATCATTAAAGGCATATAAAACTTAAGTCGCAATGAGTTTTTAGTAACATGCGGTCATGATTATTACAAAAATCGAAATGGAAAATCTATATTGCTCGTAATATTTGTTTAAATATGGATATGAAATTATTTATGTTAGCAGTATATATGCACATAAATATGATTGAGCTTAATTATCATTTGAACCTATCAACCTAGTTTTATGTACAACTATATCGTATTCTTTGAGCAAAACAAACAAAATGCTGTAAGGCAAAAGTGTTTATAGCCAGACGCAGAGGCAGACGAAAGTAGCCACCATGACAGCTATGACCAAATCCCTAACCAGACAAATTTTTGGAAACTGGACGCGCTCATTTAAAGGAGGCCAATCGCAGCTTAATGTGTGTCAGCCATGCCTTTCAGCAGTTGAGTGAAGCGGAAGAGATTAGAAAGAAATGTGAAAATAAGTGCCATATGGTAAAAATTAAGACCAAAAACTGTACAGTATTGTGTCTAGAGATTATGATTTTACTTGCAATTATATAGATATTTTTGGTTCGTTTGCTGGAAGAACGTCGTAATTCCATGAAACAAAAATGCGAGTGAAGACTTTAAAGTTTTAAGTGGTTGGTGGTATTTCCTAGAGGGTAGGAACGGTGTTAACAATTCCTGAATTATCTCTTGTGATTGCCTTAACTTATCTGAACAATATTATTCCTCAAGTCAAGTACCTTCAGAGTGTATAGCCACGATGGTTTGGAGATGTTTACCCTGCGCATGCAAACAGTCCATAGCCTCCCACATAACTGTTGACGATATTTTCCAGTTCGTGTTCATAGAAAAAACCATCACCGCAGTTATAGAATTCGATTTGCATCTAACAACCAAGCAGAGAATCATTGTAGACACTTAAGGTTCTGCTGCTCCCGTACTTTACACTGCACAACAATATGTAGCACTTAACGCCATAAACACCCAGATAATTCGTGGCCTAAACCATAACCGTCCTCTGGACTTGTCAAATGCGTTTGACACCGTTTGTCATTGCACGCTACTAAAAGACGCTGAGGCTTCCTCTATCCCACAGGGACTCAAACGATGGTCGGCCGGCAAAACCTAGAAGATTAAACAAGGGGATCCATATGTGTTCTGTCCCGCTTACTGTTTAACTTCTACACTTCGAAGCTCCCTTAAGCCGCGGAGGGAATTTCCCTGATCGCATACGCTATATTGGCTTCTGGGAATGGAATTGATGACCTCTGTTCAAAAGTAAACGGCTATCTCTCCGAACTTCCTCGCTTCTTCACTGCAAGGAGCCTGACACTATCCGCAACGAAATAAACGGCTGCACCACCTGCACGAAGGAGGTCTGACTTCAACTAGCATTCACGCCGATGGCACACCAATTCCGTCGGCGAACAAGCCGAAAATTTTAAAGGCTAACTTTGATAGCCTGCTCTCCTTCTACGCGCATACAGCCGCAGTTGTCAACAAAGTACAGAGCCGCAACAAGGTCCTCAAGTCGCTCGCTGGCAGCACCAGGCAATCGGCCGCCGGAAACTAATTGGACGCTGTGGCCGAAGCTACAGTCTTGACAGAACGCCGTACTCCGGACAGCGACAATACGCCTTCTTATGTCGCCGAGCACCACCCGCACCACGAGACTCGTAAGGGAGCATAACAAAATGCTCAGCAAGCAGTTTCTGATGGGATGTCACAGACGTGCGCACCCCAACAGACCCTTGCTCGAGGAGGAGCCTCCGCCCAGGAACGTCAGAGGACACCTATTCGAATACATGGACGCGTTCCAGTCAAACATTGACCAACCACTGGGCTTGACGACGTATCGACGAGTGATCAACGGCATTCATAGGGAGTTGGTCGCCACCTACCACGACTCCCGAACCATGAATGCCGCGATTGGAGGCCAATCACCACCTGTAGCAGACACGAAGCTTCAACTGCCAAGAGAGACCCGCGTTACTCCGGCCCAGTTACGGTCTTGATACCTATCCAGACTCGACCCCAATACCCCCAATGAGTGCCCGGCATGTGAAGGATCCCTGCACCATATGTCGGCTCAATTCCACTCAACTAACACCCCTCTCCCTTTGGTCCGACCCTGTCAAAACTGCCCGTTTCCTGGGCTTACCGTTAGTTGAGCTTGACGACAACGATAGGTGGACAAACCGAAATAGACGGGACTTAGTATAGGCGCTACAACAACAATAGTACGAGTGTAAGAAGCACTTCGGTTGATATCATTTTTTAGTTCTTTTGTATACTTGTTATGACATGAAGGGTATACTGTTTCCAATGGAATAGCATTAAATTCCTTAACTCTTTTCTACGATGATCTCCAGCTAAGCGTAATTAATTTTCTACGCAAGAAAATTATCAGCCATTGCCTACCACTGACAGTAACTCTGCATTGGAGCCTTAACAGCTGGTCGTTGGCAACGGCTCAACGAGTGGAAGAGCAACAAATTAGCGCATTTTATGCTGCCACTATGACAACTATTGCTATCAGCAACAAAAGAATGCTTATAAGCTTTTGGAGTGCAGCACAAATCTCTATTCAGGTATACATATATGCTTATGTGTGGTGGCTAAGTGGTAATCCGCTCACGCGCGCAATCGCACAGCGGAACATTTCCATGAGACTCAGCATGTAATGATTTGTATTTGTACGAGTGTGTATTTTTATTTATTTGAATTTAAGTAATTCCATTTGTATTTTCTATACATATATTTTTATTTTTTTTTTGGTTCACTCCACTTTAGTTGACGCCTAGCAAAACGACGACGACGACGACGACAGAAACCGGCAACAACTGGCGTTTGCAAAACAACGAACGCCATGTCCGCCCAGTCGCCAGCAGCCGACGTGTATGCCGCCGTGTGCGTTTTGTGGAGCGCATCGTTGGCGCTTTGCTTATAAGTGGCCGGCACATTGGTGAGAATACTTCAGATAGGCAGCACCTGAACGCGGTGTTGGTTGTTTATTTAACGCGCCGATGAAATAGCAAAGTTACAAAAGTTGATAAACGCAACGCATAAAACGGGAGCGGTCAGTGCGGGCAACCCAACTACTTGAGGAAAATACACTAAAACTTGTTTGGTCTATAACTTGTGAATGTTGCCGAAATTGTGCATTTAATTATAAAAAGAAAACGTGAAACACAGTTTTAATTTCATCGTTTCCGTTGTTGTTGTTGCGGGAGTTGAGAGCGTAAGTGTAAGCTAAATGTAAACCGGAAAGAAGTGTTTTTGTATTCATTTATTTATTGAATTTCATTCGTAAAGTATTAATCTGCATAAATTTGGTTATTTAAAATGTGAAAGCTCGCGCCAAAAAGTGCAGTGAACGTCATAAATAAATATTTATGAGTTCAGTCGAAATCAGGAAGTCAAAAATCAAAACCCAAATAAATAAACTTACTTATTTACATGTCTGTGCTTGATGTTCGAGTTCAGTAGCCATGGATAAAGTCATAAAACTTAAGCAAAAATCAGTTCACATTTCAGCAATTAATTTATGTAGGTATGTGTAAATGTAAAACTGTTCCATTTGGAGAATTCGGAATCATGCATTTAGTATTCATTCACGGATTCTATAACAGGACATTTCCGAATGGCGAAGCCAACTGGAACTCTTAGAGATCTAAATTAATAAAAATACATACTCACATAGGGGATTAAGAAAAAAGTATGTCAGTTTGAGGTTTACTACTTACCTTATGGTGGATTCCAGTTCATGATGCCTTTGATGGCAACGAAAGGGCTGATGCTCCTGCCAAATGCAGGGCCTAACAGGATCTGTATCGTATCCGAAAATAAAAATGTTACATTAATAAATGCTTCATAGTAAAAACTTAACATAAATTTGGTAATTAAAGGTAATAATTGTATATAATAATAATAATAATAATAGATTGGCGCTTACACATATGTTAGTGTTTGGCCGAGCTTCTCCTCCAACTTGTGGCGTGCGCCTTGATATTGTCACACAAAGCTTTACGCCGACTCCGAACGGCGATTGTATTTTTATGAGAACCTTTTTTTCATGGCAGAAATACACTCGGAGGTTTGCCATTGCCTGCCGAGGGACGACCGCTGTTAAGAAAAAACCTTTTTATATTTATATTAATTTAAAAATTGCACCTTCATTTTTGGCCATTTAAAACCTGGGCATAAATTTGTGGTAATTGAAAGCTTGCACTTATATTTTTGATGGTTATTTGAAAACGGGGCATCATTTTCTTCTCATTTAAATAATGGCAAACATTTTTGGTAATATAAAATTTTTTCATAATTTTCTGGCAATATAAAAATTTGTGGTGGCATACCTTTCTGCAGAACCATGGTAATTTAAAAGGTGGACACTTAAAAACTGGATATATTTTTTTTGGAAATCATACCTTAATTTTTTTGTAATTTGAAAACTGAAGATTTGTGCTCTTTTAAAATAATAATATCGTGGAAGTTTAGAACTGGACGTAAATTTTTTATTTCATACTTCAAATCTGGACACAAATTTTTTGAAATTTAAAAACAGGCCATAATTTCCTTGAATTTCGGAATAGAACATACATTTTTGACCGCTTAAGACCTGGACATAAATCTGTGGAAGCTGGACTTAAATAATAAATAAAATCTGGTCCAAAACTTTTTGTGATTTAAAAACTATATAGACATACATTTTTGTTCAATTAAAACCTGGACATGAATTTTTGATGGCTTATTAACTTGACATAACTTTTGATAGTTCAAAAACAGGACATTAAATTATATTCATTTAAAAACTGGACGTATTTTTCGGAAATATAAATCTGCATATGGGCGATTCCAGCGAAGTCTACCGCGAAAAAATAAAACTCCTAAATCTAATTTATTTATAGGCCGATTTGGCTGCTTTTTACAATATATGTAGATATATTGGTTATGTAAGCAAAAACATTTTTGCCAAAAATGGTCTCGTTAGGTGGCACCTGGATCGAAGCTTTTTTGAAAAACCGTATTTATGCTCTGGTATGTTTCACATTTGGCATATTTAGTTGAAACGTAAATAGTAAGACATAGATTTGTACGTTCGACATAAAATACATGTTTTTGTTTCCATTCAAAATTCTTTCAAGAACAATATTAACAAAATTGTTTAATGGAAATTTTAGTACCGTAACGCCAGGTAACGTCTCGTCAGATAATTTAGCTGATTAAACATGATGCAGAAAAAAAATTCTACATTTTAAGACTAGGAAAATTAACCTTGAACATTTCCTATATAAACGTTTATACAAATAGTCTTGCCCGATTCGAAGTTTTGTAATTTTCTAAACGAAGTAAAAATCCACTTCCGTTTTTTGTAACGTCACGCCAGCGCGTATGTTTACTAATATCGTTAGATCGCTATGCTAAATGCTAGTTAATTGCTATGCAAATCTTGAAAAACCGTTTTAAAATTTTGACTTTTTCAACTTTTTTTTAGCATTTTGTCATTTTGAGTGTAACGTAACGCCAGTTTGGAAATACCCATATGTACATTTTTATGAACAAATCTTGTACATATAGTACTGTTTGCCATTTCAAAACTGGAAAATAGTTTTGGTTTTTTAAAAACTGGACAAATATTTTAGATTTTGTATCATTCAAAAACCGTCTCCAAGGGTTTAATATCAATAAGTCTAAATTTGTTTTTGTTAAAAACCCTGGAGAGGCTTATTAACATAAACATACAAATAAAAATCCTCTACATCTCCTACCAAAAACTCAGCATGTGTATTTAAAGGATTGGTCGGTTGCGACCATTGGATCGAGGAAGCATTTACTCAACAAAGACTTCAGGATGAGGTCCATCCCCAGTATCCAGGAGTCTTTTATTAACATTCTGCCGGTCATAATCGTTCACTAGTTGAGTAGACCGAGTCAAATTGAAGTTCTGAACACATTGAAAACGACGAGCTATGGACCACAGCTTCCAATTTATCATCTACATTATCTAAACGCTTTGTCGATGGCGATATGATTTCTTAGAACGCGGCAGCGACATCATGAATTTATATCAGTTTGACATAAAAGAAGAGGAAGAACCTTATCTGTAGCCAGAAAAATAGAAATAGATCAAATCTGGCCACAACCACAGCCGTCGCGTAGCCCGGTCGTCGCCAAAATAATTATCTACATTAGAGTACGTGTTAAAATAGTTTGACAGCTGGGGTTTGTAGCTCGTCGCTTTCATTGTGTTCGGGCTATTATTGACCCCATATTTTCTAACTGAGCGGTGCCTCGATCCAGCGGAGCGTAAAAGGTGGCACACCATTGTATATAAAAGGTGGAGTCATCCCAGATCCTAGCGTATCCTCCTCAATAGAAAATATAAGAGACCCGCTACTCTTCCCGCAATTAAAGCGTTCGCCTTGTGTTCTTTAATTGAGTTAAGTATTCGGACATGATAGAAAGCTTCGTGAAAGTCCAACATTTAGGAACGAATGAAAAGGACATAAAAAGCTCTATACTGGTAGAACCATTGGCAAGAGATGGAACCGCGCTTCCTACGTTTTTTTACTCGCGCTTAAGCCTGTAATCTTATGTCGGAGCAACATCTAAATTAGAAAAAAATTTTTTCTAACAGCGGTCGCCTCTATAGGAGGAGAAGCTCGGCCCAAAAACTTAGCGCCAAAATATGTATTAATAATATTAATCTTATGTGGAGTGTTGCTAGTTGGATAACGCATATTTTGGTCTTGGAAACGCAGATAACTGTGTTTCTAGACTAGCTCGAGGCGGCTCTTTCTCTATTCACATTCGTTCAAGAGATGAGTAAGGAAGGTGCGTAGCGTCTGTCGGGAATTCTTTCACAACCTCAAAGTAAGGCCCGTAACTGTTAGCTTTTTGGCGTCTATAAAAGAGGAACAAATCTTTACTATTGTCATTACCATTGCTACTACCATTACTATTACCAACACCATAACCATTACTACCACCATTAAAATTACCAGTGCCAGTACCATTACCATTACCTTACCACTACCATTGCTACTAGTTTTACCATTACCATAGCCGTAATCACTACCATTACTTTTAATATTACCATTACCTCCACCTCTACTATTACCATTGAAATTACCTTTACTATTAGCATTACCTCTACCATTACCCTTAATATTACCATTTCAATTACCTTTACTATTACCATTACCGCCGTCACTACTGTTACCATAAAAAATTAACACTTTTCCATTTAAATTTATGGAAATACTGGTCTACAGTTCTGAGCCCAAAATATTGGGTTGAAAATATGGAAAATGGTCATTAATAAGCTTAAAATATCGCAATAATTACATGTCCATATAATAATACTTACCTTTTCTTTGAGTTAGAACTCTACAACAAACTTTTCAGACCTTGTAGCTTTCGACGCTCAAGCTGTTTTATAAAACGTATAGCTAAATAGAGCGTTGAAAGCCTGAAGAGCGCTGGACGGTCTGAAAATCTCGTTCTGGAGTTGTATTATTAATGCTACTATTAATTTTGAATTTGAAGTTTTACAAAAAAAAAAAATCGTCGTGCTTTCGTCGTCGTGATTTCCATTCTCCTACAATTTTAAGATATCTCTTTCTCATATACACATATGTATGTATGTATGTATAATGTAAATTGTACATANTACAAAAAAAAAAATCGTCGTGCTTTCGTCGTCGTGATTTCCATTCTCCTACAATTTTAAGATATCTCTTTCTTATATACACATATGTATGTATGTATGTATGTATAATGTACATTGTACATGGCCCGTTAATTGCTGCAACGACAATGTTGCATTTCCAACAATAATTTTAAATAAAAAATCTGCATATTTGAATACTCGTACTCCCCTCACAAGAAACTGTGATATTTTCGCTCGCATATCCAGTTCAGTAGACAAAGCGCGCACCGTCATTGCCACATACATACATATGTGAATATTAAACTAGTTTCACTAACTATCATAGATGCCCCGCTACGCTCCACAACTCCTCATACTGCCTAGCGCACCAGCATTTTAATTAGGTTGTGTGAGCGTAAAATTAAAATTCGATTTTGATTGTCTCCAATCAATTGCGGTCAAACGGCGTTGTGCTGCGCGAGCAACAATTGTAAATAAATATGTCCATAAGTATGTAGTAAAAAAGATGCACTCTATAATGGCTTTTCACAATTTTTATCATCAAAAAAAGCCAAAATCAACGATATTTTA